TTTGGCGCGCTTTGAGGTCCGAGAACCCATTTCTTTGGCGCGCTTTGAGGTCCGAGAACCCATTTCTTTGGCGCGCTTTGAGGACATGCAGTCTGATGCACACTCGTTGTGTGACCATGCAATAATAATGGCTATTACTATCTCCTCTTAATCAGTGCCAGAGCTATGTCGTCGTCGATCGCCCTCTCCCTCCGTTCAGAACGACGATATAAATCGAGGGGGCTGAAGACTCAGTGAAGAGCGCTCACCCTCACTCAGCGATCTGTTGTCTATTCTGACCCTCCTGCATGCATCTGACTGCAATTCCGGCTTCTCGTGGATGCATCTGACTGCAATTCGGGCTTCTCACGAAAGCATCTGACTGCAAATTTGAGCTTCTCCTGGATGCAGATCTGACTGCGAATTCCGGCTTCTTCTCGATGCATCTGGCTGCAATTCCGGCTTCTTCTCGATGCATCTGACTGGAATTCTTGTAGCATACTCGCGCACCAACTAGTACCCTCCTGCATGCATCTGACTGCAATTCCGGCTTCTCCACGATGCAACTGACTGGAATTCTTATAGCATACTCTGCAACTCCGGCTTCTCCTGGATGAATCTGACTGCAATTCCCGCTTGTCCTGGATGCATCTGACCGGAATTCCGACTCTTCCTAGATGCATCTGACCGCAATTACGTCCATCTACAGGTAACTCCAAAGATGTCCTAATGGGAGTATGCCTTTTGCATCTTGTCGGCAAAACCGATGGACATAGCTCGCCGCTGACTTAGCCGCCCGATTTTGCGCGATCGGTTAAGTTACCCGGCCCAGATTTAACGACAACGAGTTTTTTTTGTTTGTTGGTTTTTTCTCCCCTTTCAGTTTTTGACGATCGTTAAGCTTTATCTACGTTGCGTGCGTCGAGCAGCGGTATTCCCGAGACAGGAGCACTCCTTTTTTTTTTTTTTTTTTTTTTTTTTTTTCCAGTCGTTTATAATTTAGCTGGCCGCCGATGTAATGGCAAGCAGCTAGTTTTTGTTTTTTTTACGATCGTGAAGCTGCACCTGAACTGTACGGAAAAGGAAATTTTCCGTACAGTCGAGCAGCGGTATCGACGAAACGGATGGAAATAATTCAAATAAATTCGGATTGTTTTTCTTTTTTTCTTTTTTTCTAAAAGAGAGCATTTCTTCTTAGGAGGATTATTTTCAGAGTCGGAAAACTAACGAGAAAAGGAAATTTTGAGTTTTCCGTTAAACAAAAAAAAGAAAAAAAAAAAGAAAAAAAAGAAAAAGAAAAGAGTAATTCTCAATTGAGGAGAGTGCAGAGATAGACGACTACGGAGAGTAATCAGGTGGTCTTTTTTTCTTTTTTTTTAGGATATAAAATTCAATCAGAACAGGTATTACACTTGATCATTGATTTATATGTAATTAATAATTTATTATTAATTAATGGAATTTTGTAAAAACAGGGATCTCTTCGAAGTTGAGATACAGATCGCGACGCGGTGATTCGATCTTAAAAATCCATCACTAGCACGTCACGTTCAAGGATCAACGTAGCTTTTTTTTTTTTTTTTTGTGCGTGTGTGTGCGCGCTAATTGATTAATTACTTAATGATTACGATTAAATTTCTTCCAAATTAATTATCACTAAATATTCATTTTTTATCGGATCGCGTGCGCGTTTCGAGCATGAGAACCTAGGCTACCAGAGTGGCCCGGGGTCACTTGCCCGGCCGGGCAAAAAACAATTACAAAAACTAAAAGAAAATTTTATTTTTAAATTTTATTTTGTATTCTAAATCTGGTGAAGAATTTCGATGTGACCCTGAGGTAAAAGTTGTTCAGTTTATTTTTCTGCGTAACATAGTTTTTTTTCGGATTTTTTGGAWTTKTTKTTTTTTTTTTTTTGGCTGGGACCTTCCCTGCTTCCTTGCACGGGCTGGCCACCCGGGACCCGGGCGGCCCGGCTGGTAGCCTAGATGAGAACACGGTTTTTTTTTGTTTTTTTTTTTTGAGCTTTCTTTAGCTTCGATATTTCTTATTGCAGTTCGATATTATTAGTTGATGTACGTGTGAAGAACACTTGGCCATTGCTTGTCTTTCTTCTTCTTCATCACTTCTTTTATATATATATATCAAGGGCGATGACCTTGAGATATCATCGTCGAACTGGTTGAACCCCCCAGGGAATTCCCAAGGGGTTTTATTCTGGTCATCTCATCGCAACTGGATCCGTACTCGGGCCCCTATTTCAACAATTCCTTGGTGTGTACCAACTGACTAGGCTCGTTGCTGTTCTTCATCACATTTTAGCCGATAGACAGAACAAAAAAAAAGAAAAGGAAAAAAACAGATGCACGTACAAAAAAATTAAAAAAGGGAAGTTCACGATTCAGCTATTTCAGTAAATTAGGTACGTAAAAATCTGTAACAAAAAGAAAAGAAAAGAAATCCTGTGACAAAGAACTGCGCGGTGAACCGTAGGTAGGTAGAGAGGGAGGAAAGGGGCACGAAACATAGAGAGGCCTGCGGCAGAGTGTTCCATCGACTATTCAGGACGCTGTATATATATGTATATATATCATCAAACAGAGCTGCCCCGTCAAGCGTAGGCAGAGAGGGAGGGAGGGAGAAGAGGACAACAAACGAGGGAGGGTCTGTGACAAACTGTTTCGTCGGAGTTTCACCTACCTACTCATCAGCAGGAGGCTGAACCCTCAACAGTCTGAAGAACAGGATCCCATAACTGATTACACTGTGAGTGATAATCTATCTTAACCCCAATTGTGGTTGTGGTTAAGCATCAACGACTATCCGACGACAACCGATAGCCTTCTGAGGAGGTGGGGACCAAATATACATATATGTACTTGTTCACTCGTTACTCGTCATTCATATTCTCTCTTTTTTTTTTTTTTTTTTTTTTCTCGTGTACGCGGAATATTCGTCTTCCGACGGAACACTCTGCCGTTACGGTAGTTATTGTACATATTTTGGAGAAGTGCCCAGGCAATAAAAAAAGAAGAAGATTATAAGAACGAATCGCAGGCTTTCGTCTTCTACAGTGTCATTCTTCCAGGCCCCCCCCCCCCCGGTGCTCCCTGGATGCCGCCGCCTCTTTTTTTTTTTTTTTTTTTTAACTTCGAGTAAGGGTGTTCCATTTAAGGAGGTGATAAGTCCACCCTTCCTAAGTGGCTCCCTGCGTTAAAGGCTTCATCGTTTTATTTGTTTTTTTGATTAATTACAAAGAAAAGAGAGAGGATCGTCTCGATCTGATTAGATTCCTTACCTTCCCCCTTCGACTGCCCCTTGTTACGAAGAAGAGACACAAAAAGAGAGAGAGAGAGAGAGAGAGAGAGAGAGAGAGAGAGAGAGAGAGAGAGAGAGAGAGAGTTGAAAGGGTGGGGGCACGATCTTCGACGATGGCGACAATGGCGTCGACGTCGTTGGCTAACGAGACAATGATCGGGATCGCTATCGCGGCAGCCGGCAGCAGACCGAGCACGTCGGATCGCTTTTCTTCGTCCTCGCGGAGCGAGAATGGGTCAGGGGGATTGGTCCCCGCGGTGGGGCGAGGACGCTCTGCATGTGGCCAACCACGGCGACCCGGTACAGAGGCTGCAAGTTGTGCGGTGCATTCGGCCGTCGATCGGGACTCCTCGTCGCAATCCACGTCATCACGGGCTCTTGTTCCGACTACCACGAGATCGTCGGCGAGCCAGCTGAGGTCATCCTCCTCGCAAATAAGTACAGGCAGACCTCCGAAGGTGATGACGTCATCGTCAATCATAGTCAGCTCGAGATCATCGAAGTTGATGACGTCATCGTCAATCGCAGTCAGCACGAGATCCTCGAAGATGATGACGTCATCGTCAATCGTAGTCAGCACGAGATCCTCGAAGATGATGACGTCATCATGTTCATCGCCGGCCAAAACGCCGGCGAAGTTGACGTCATCATCAATAGGCAGATGGAGAGCAGGAGGGATGATGGTCGGGAGACGGTGTTGGAGCTGCAGGAGGCGGCGGTGGTGGTCCATCGACGATGTTGGGATCGCGACGGCGGCCGCACTGCCAGCCGCGGCGTCGTTCCACCGCGGCCATGAGGTCGGTTTTCAAGGCGACGAGTGGGAGAGGAGCAGGAAGGTGAAGGTGCCACTGGATGAAACCGAATCCAGTGGCACGTGCAGCTCCTTAATCATTATGCGGCAGATCGAACGGAGACGGCGCAGCCATGTGGCGGAAGCTGCGAGATTGAAAACGAATATGCTCTCCTCCAGAGCGATGCTGAGCGGAGCAACAGCAGCGGGAAGCGAAGGAGGAGGAAGGGGAGGAGGAGGAGGAGGAGGAGGAGGTGATGGGTATGGTGATGGTTATGGTGATCAGGTATTAGACTATGACGATGGCACGGATGCGACGATACGACGCAGATCGCTTTACGACGGTGATGCTGCCATGTGGCTGGCAGAATCACCAGTTGCCTCTGAGTCATTTTCGCGAGTCGGTGGCTCGGCTGCCACGTCAGCAGCGTCTCGATCGGGATCTCTTGCAGTCGCGGCGTCCGTAGCAGATACGTCAGTTGCCTCTGAGTCATTTTCTGGAGTCGGTGGTTCGGTTGCCACGTCAGCAGCGTCGCGATCGGGATCTCTTGCAGCCGCGGCGTCCGTAGCAGATACGTCAGTTGCCTCTGAGTCATTTTCTGGAGTCGGTGGGTCGTTTGCCACGTTAGCAGCGTCTCGATCGGGATCTCCATCGTCAGGTGCCACGTCAGCAAGAGGTGGGTCAGGCGCGTCGTCAGCGCAGCTGGTCTTGTCGCCGGCGGAGTCTGGATTGGGATCTGCTCCGGAGGAGGAAGAGGAGGAGGAAATGGGGTCGGGATCTCTGCTATACAGGACGGTGGTGCAAGCGCTTGAGAGGACGAGACGATCAGTCGCGACGGCGGCCATTGGCGTGGCTATGGCAGGAGTTCTCATGCTCGGGTTACCTTTGGATACGGCGGACGCTTCTTCCATCAGCATCACTTTTCCCGTCTCGAGGATCCCAGAGGTAAGACGTTCTTCAACCTTGGATTCTTGGTCGTTTTTTTTTTTTTTTTTTTTGTGTTTCGTCTTTACGCAGGGGCCATGGTAATAAATCTTAAAAAAAAAAACAAAAATGCGGGGGGGGTAAAAAATCTGTCTTCGCTGTATCGTTCCAATTTTAACGGATATCCTGCAGACTGTTTTCGTTTTTTTTTCCATTTTCACTTTAAAAAATGTGGACGATTTCTCGTTTGTGGGTGTCACCCTTGAGTGCACAAGGACGTGCTAATTAGTCTTCTCTGTATTATTCCAAAATTTTATCAGTATATATCCCCCCTTCGATCTCTTTTCTATGGTTACCGTAACGTATGGGCCTACTTAAAAAAGAATATAGATTCATTAGCCCATATGGAACGAACGTTCGCCGGGAGAGATGGCTGCACATGCAACAGACAAAAGAAAGAAAGAGAGAGAGAGAGAGAGAGCCGCACACAGAGAGACGCACAGAGAGAGAGAGAGAGAGAGATGGCTGCACATGCAACAGACAAAAGAAAGAAAGAAAGAAAAAGAGAGAGAGAGAGAGAGAGAGAGAGAGAGAGAGAGAGAGAGAGAGAGAGAGAGAGAGAGAGAGAGAGAGAGAGATGGCCGCACACGAGAGCAGCAGCGCAACGTCCGGCTGAATGGACGGGTACACTGACGATTTTTTTTGTTTTTTTTTAATCTGAACAAGCCAAAGGTCCGAAAAGGAGCACTGTACACGAAGTTATACCCTTCGCTCCAGGGGACGACCTGGATGCCAGGCGTCCCGGGCCAGAAACAGACCCTGGATGCGAGGCCGCCCAGTCCAGAAACAGACCCTAGATGCCAGGCCTCCCGGTCCAGAAACAGACTGAACCGTCTGGGACCGCCATGACTTGCCGGGCCTGGCAGGGTACCGCTACACCATCGAGTTCCCCATTCAGAAGGAAATGGTACTTTGTGCTTTCCAGCAGACCCACAACATCTGAAAAAAAAAAAGAAAAAAAAAAGAACATCTTTGATGTTGGGCAGGCCATCCATAGATGGTGTTGATCTTCAACCAAGCAGCCTTGTGCAAAAGTCTTGGTTTTATGAAATGATGAGTGGTGTCTCACATACCTTCGGAATGTGAGAGGCGGGCCTCTCCAGGACTTGTTACGAACAGTAGGCCGCCAGGATGAGATAGATGAGTACTAGCAAGAAAAATGAGATAGATGAGAGAAGAATATAGCTTTAGAAAAAAAAAAAAAAAAAGTCTATCTGAATTAAAAAAAAAAAAAAAGTTCACCGAGCGTCTGCATACGGTAAAGGTCTGCCCGGGGCAAGGTCCCACTTCCGCAAATTAGGAGATTTCGGCCGTTGATCTTTGCTATCTCGGTCAGTATCTCTTAATTCGTGCAAGTGGGACCTAGACCCCGGACTCTGCCGGTTTGGTTGGATGCCCTCATGCCCTCCCCTGAGTGCCCGGGTGGTGCATGAGCTGATAGCCTGGGTTGCCTGATCAGGGCCCTGTCCATACCTCAAGCCTCCACACAACCTAAAAAAAAAGAAGGAAAAGAAGAAGAAGAAGAAGAAGAAGAAGAAGAAGAAGAAGAAGAAGACGAAGAACAACAACAACAACAACAACAACAACAAAAAGATTGTCCTTTGTGTAATCTGGATTACACATCTTCTCTGTCGTAAGGACCGATTGGCAGAACAGACAGAAGGTTCTAAGACTTTTGTTTGTTTTTTTGTTTTTTTTAAAGCAGACAAAAGGTTCTCGTTTGGTGCTACACAATTCTGAACCACGAATTTAAGGGTCTCGCTCCTCTACTGTCCGCTATACACAATTTTGTATAGTTGCCGTATAGCTGTCAGACCGCGCTCCACTTACTATCTGCTATACAAAGTCTACAGTTCCTGAGTTCACTACGCAACACCCTAACAGCACTAGAAGACAGCAATTTGTCCGTCCAGACTTGAGGTTCACCATACAAAAATGCAGAGGGTCTGTGGTTTCCTTTGAGGAGTATCCGAGTAACGACTTTTGCAGGCTGGGAACTATACACCGACGGAGAGTGCAATCTCCGACCGATATCTGACAGCTATCCGAGCGATTTGGCACGTGTATAGTGTACAGTAAGTGGAGTGATGCCGAACTCTCCAAATTCGGATAGTGTATAGTAGTGGAGCGAGACCCTTTTTTTTTTTTTTTTGAGAAGTTGTCAATTTATATTCAAAAAGGAGTGGCAGAGGCCGGGGACCTCACAATTCAACCCGGAGTCACGAAGAATCTTGCTGGAAACCGGGTCCAGCGTCCCAGGACCCCTCTATTCTCAACAGAAATAAAACTTCTCAAAAACTAACTTGAAGCTCAATAAAAGGTGGCCGAACTAATAAAGATATAACTACGCAAACCCTTCAGCCAGAGAAAATCCTCGTAAACAGCTGTGCAAATACAGACCGACAGAAACTAAGAAAATGTGTGGGAGTAATTCCTCTCCGACCTCACTGGCAAAGAAACTTGTGCTAATAGGCACACTAAAACACTCTAACACCCAAAAGGTTGACTTCACAGCCTAGCTCTGCTAATAAACCAAAACGGCTAGCTAAGCTGCATAGCATAAAGGTATGAAAGGTAAAGCAATGGCCAACAACCAGCTTCCAAGCACAAATTAACCAGCTTCCAAACACAAATTAACAAGTAATAAAGCATCACACAGCCAAATGTTTCCCTCACATGGGTTTGACCTTCGTGCATGTCTTCCCCAGGGGGAAGACCATGTGTGAGATGCGAGGTACACAATACGGTTCAGACACGGCCTCCTTCCAGCCATTCTCTCTCCAGGAGTGATCTATGATGAGCAGGATTTAGGCTCGACGTCCTATCCTATCGCACAGTAATCCGCACAAAGCCAATAATGAACCATAGTGTGACTCAGAGGTAGTCTTGAAGAAAAAACGAGGAGCCAAAGTGAATCGTGACAGTTTCTCATGCAGCTGCTACTCCTCCAGACGTGCGATGCAAACTAGATTGAAGCAATCCTAGCAAAAGTTGCGGAGCAAAGGAACCCAAACTCATACTACTAACTTGCTAAGCCTTGAACAAATTTACGAAATCGCGTGAGGTAATTCACAAGAATGAGTGAATCTACCCTAGAGTCGTGCTTAGGTACATTGTAGTTCCAACAATATTGAGAACAACACACAACCAGGGCAAAACCCTCCAACCTCACGAAGCAATGCACCACCCGTCTCTGAGTGTTAAGAGTTCCCAAGGACACGCAGATGTACATTGCTACTCTAAATATGTCTTTGGAAATTGAAAGCAAGTGTATGGCCTTCTTCACCCAAATACAAGGTAAGGTCATTCTTGCTGTATTTGCACCGAAAGATACCCCAAATACAGCTGGACTGAAAGATACCCCAAATGCAACTATAATGACCCTACGTTGTACTCAGGGGAAGAAGGTATGCCATCTGTGACTTACCAGCATGTTGTTTCCCATGATTGTGAGTTGAGTACTCACTACGGGTGATTCAAATTTTTACAGTCTAGAATCTGATCTTTGTTGAGCGACTTGAGTCCAGTCTCCTTTTTTAACCACCAGGAACAAGGTATTCGTGAAAACTGGACTTGAAAAATTGTCCAGTTTGCAAATATGCATTTTTTTTTTTTGAAAAAATAATTTCCATTGACCAATATATCTGAAACAATCTGCTGTTTTTTTCTTCTTATAATAATAATTATTTTTAGATTCCAAAGGGCCATTAGGCAGAAGCTTCCAAGAAAAAATATTTTCGTCAAGTCCACTTTGTTATAAAACAGTCCGCAGACCCTTCTTCGTTTTTTTTTTTTTTTTTCTCTCCTTTAGCCATAAGTACTTGGCTCAACTATTGATACCGAGCCTAAAAACACTCTACGTGCCACATTTTGCCAAGCATGAAAAGAAGAGGCACCAGCACATGGAGGAAAGGAGGAGGTACCGGTGTCACCCTGTGTCATACATGGGTGTAGGACCTCGCTCCAGCATGCGGAATACTTAAGGATCCGTTTTCACCCTGAAGAAGGAAAAAAGATAGTCTAAGTTTCAAGTTGTGTCGGCCAGATGCATCCAACCAAGAATCGGCACCACATACGTCGCTCTAGAAGTTGTGGCACTGTCGGCCCTGCACTTTTCATTCCCTCTGTCATCTGGCAGAGGGATTCGTAATAGCTCTCTTCGGCCTTCACGGTGCAGCACCTGTCACGTGTGCCCAAATCAGGTAAGTTTGTTGTTTGCATTTGTTTTTTTTTTCCACTAGTACCTTTCCCGCGTGGGAAAATAGGGAAAACTGGCTGTTTTCACAAACTCCTGAATCTTCGGAGGTCAAGCCCGACGACGACTGCCATTGATAAATCTGATCGGCGGCCGTCGTTTCGTTTCGGCCCCCGAAACGGTCGGAGGCCCAACGGAGGCCCGCTATTTTCCAAGCGGCAAAGGTACTAGTGGAAAACAAAAAAATGAGAAACTGCTGCAACGACCTCAAGGTATACTTGCACGAGGACCTTTCTAGGATGCATTTGACCACCGGAAAAGTCCTAGTGTGAGTATATGCTTGCTACACGATACACGACCTGCCCAACTTTTTTTTTTCCCATGCCGTACCATTCGGTGGCACCATCATTGCAGCTTCTCTAGGAAATCCTCTCAACTTGTGATTGGAAACCTGTAGAAAGTGCTCGGATGGAAATACCCTGAAGTCTTTACTTTCTCCTCACGTCATTGCCTCAGAGCCCTTGCATGTGGAAACATGCACAGCACGAACCAACGGGACATATTGCAATCCATTTGACCCTTTTGCTTGGGCCAACGGGCTATCTCCCCCGTTGCTCCACCAGGCTTCCCCCTAGACCCAGAAAATGCGCTCGTATCCGAGAATCTTTTTTTTTTTCTTTTCCCTTCGCAGGGCCCATGCTAATCTTCTCTGTATCATTCCAATTTTAACGGATGTCCCGAATGACTCATTCTTTTTTTTCGCCTG